GTCAACCACCAACTGACCAGGCCCCACCAGCGCCGCCACCTCCGGAAAATCGAGCTCCTCGGAATCTTGAAGGAAAGGAAGCGAGAGGGAACTATAGACGTGTGGACTGGCCACTATTTTGATTGGCAGGTCAAAAGTTCCAAACCCTAAAAGGTCAAAGTCTCCTTTTCAACATAAGGAAGGCGGCAGTAGGTGATTTAGTTGAAATTGGAGGGGTATTCTGGGCATTACATAATTTACGGGTGAGTTTAATCTGAAACTCAACAAGCGTACGTAACTTACTCAATTTATGTCAAAACTCGACACCGTTTGAACCGTGAGTTCGCATTTTTAGTCCTCATGGATATTACGATGGAATTTGACAAATTTTCCCAAGGGTATAATAGTCATTTTGACTTTTGGGAAGAGCGGGGTGTAACATTTCCTCCACCCTTATAAAAATTTCGTTCCCGAAATTTGATCGGGCTCATCTTTTCATACTCCTCATTCTCGTGCTTCTTTGTTTCAAAAATTCTCTCTTTCTATATGAACTTCAATGGCGTGCCCTTACCTTGTCTTGAATAGCTTACGATAGTTCTTATATGTACTCTTTGCATTAACATATATTCTCATCTAGCCTAGTGGCATCGAATAGGTTTGAGTGACTCATTGCCCTTTTCAAAATTTTCCAACTTGGGCCCAGTACTTGATGTTGAACCTATCGACGTCGAGGTATCACATTTCCTCCCACTTATAGAAATTTCGCCCTTGAAATTTGTCCATTGTGATTACCCTAAGCGTCGGTGGTGGTAATCCTTTTCACTTCGCGGATTTTTATTTCCTTTAGCTTATACGACATGACCTAAAATCCTCTTCTCCATTCCCTGAAACTTCACTGTTGTTGTGGCTTCTTAACCCCTCACATTACCTCGGCTGCACCTTGTACATATATAGGAACGATAACTATCCATGGTTCGGTACATGAGAAGTTAATGCCCCTCTCCAACCCCAAGGTCACTGATGGCGGCTTATCCTCCATCTAGTAAGGTGGTAAAACTCTTTTAACGTAACTCTCGTTTGGGGTTGACCTCATAGGTGACCTAGGACGTTGTACCTCCTAACTTTATATATCTTACTTTCTTCTTTGATGCTTCGCCTTATCCTTTAACCCTAAACTGAGTGGTCATCTCCTTGTTACTTCTTGCTTAACTCTGAAACCTCATATTACAGATTTTACCTCCTGTATGCATTAGAGGCATCCTTTGCATCTTTCTCTAGCTTGCGATCACCTTTATGTTTCCTTTCAAGAATCATGGCATTCTCTCTGGCTTACTCGTTCACTCCAGGAGCCTAACTTAGCACTTACTTATCGCTGCTTACTCTTAGACCCTAGTTGAAATTCCTCATGCGGTTTACCCGTCCAATAGAGTTTTACGCGAGAGATTGACACCTTTCACCAACATAGGCATCCTTGGTTCCACTTTGGGGTATTCTAGCAGGTTCCCTAAACTTATATCCCTCTTACTTTGTTACCCGTGACTCTTTTTCTTGATATTACTCACTAGTTCTAGATGATGTCCCTTATTCTCAATGTAGTCGTCTAGGTTCTCATATTCTTTTCTCACCTATATACCTTGACTGATAAGGTTTTCCCTTCGACCGTTCTGGACCACCACACTTCTACTTTAAAGTTGACCATTGAGCTTCTCATTTCTTGATGGGCTTCCTATGGTCTAACTTATTCTCCACTGGCAATCACCTTAACGCCTCCTTGTTGACCTTCGTATTCTTTCGCCGGCTCTTCCTAACTATCTTTCTCCCTGAATTTGTCGTTTTATAACCTACCACCCTCTTCACCATAACTTTCATTATAGCCTTGTGGTTTCCTCCTTACTTCCACAACTCCAGCATCGATGCTTGGTACTAGCTTTGATCTACTCAGTTGAATAGCTCCTCGCCATACCTCAAAGCCAACATTTCCACTAGAAACCTTCTCTAGGTAGACTTGACAGATGACACCCACAACTTCTACTCACGATGGTGCTTGACCACGTCCCAACTATCTTCCTTCACGCATTCATTGTCCGGTCGACAACCACCTTTTTATTTTATTTTATTTCCTATAGCGTCTTATGGTGTTCTACTTGCTTCTTTACTTTTACTACCCTTCTGTTGATACTTTGTACTATTTTCGGTCACCCAACTCTGTTGAGTATCTTCTCGTTGTTGTTTTGGATCAAAGCTTCCAATAGTGGCTTGCCCTTGGTAGGCTTGAACATACCTCATCCACGTCTTTTGTCTCGACCAATGCTTGTACATAGCCTTAATCTCTTAGTCATGGCTCTTAGTGGCTTAACTATATCACTAATTTATCCTTAACTAGCCTTCTTTTATGGATGACATCCTACTATGTCGTACTCGTTCAAAGTGGGGCACCTTGGGTAAGGTAACTTAATGATTTCCTCTTTCTTGGTAATGCTTTTCCTCGTCGTACTCCACTATGCATTTTCTTGAACACGAGTCACCTACACATATTCTCAATCCTGCATCGGAACTTCCATGTGTTTCCTCGAATTCTCTGCCATTCACTAGAACATTTATTGAACATTCCACTTACTTGTCTATACTCGGTTGGCTTAATGACTTACTCTATAGCTAGTTCCGAGACCTCAGCTCTTAGCCCTCTAGTTCCAACTTAGTAGAGAGGTTCCTCCTTCTACCACCCCTCATGTACCCTAGGAGGCTAGGTGTTCCCTCTATTTAAGAGAGGACAATCGCATAACAGATCATCGTGATCTCTTGCATACCCCTTCCAACTGTCCCAACATCCTCCTGACCTTTTGTGATCTGGTTAGTTTGTAGGGACTCTACTATCCTCCTTCTAACTCAGTGTTATCTTGGTTCCAACTCACGCACTTCTGAGAAGTGGTTCTCTATTCGTACTGCCATCTAATCGCTAACTGTTATTCTCTCCCACCTTCCATGTCTTTTCTTATGCGTTGACTCCCCACTGTCTTCTACCATGCATGCTTTAGACTTTGGTTGCACTTTCCTCCATGTCTCGTCCATTGGTGGTCGTACTTAGACTATAACCTGCCCTCTACATCATTTATCTCGTTGCTTGTCTTGTTCCTTCTAAAGCGTTTTTATCGGACTAACTTCCCAGGGTTATGTACCCTCTTCTCTAGATGACGTAGTTTATCTACAAGGATTCCTTCATCGTCATATGTAAATGACCATGGCTCCTCTCCTCCTCAATCTATTGACTTCTTGACATCCTTTCAGACCCCCTCTAAGCTACTTACTTCCTCATTTACTTCATTTACACTACCCTAGCTTCTCTTGAAGTCTAAGCTTTTCACTGCTCCTTGTCACTATGTTGTAATAGCGTTAACCACTAAAACTAGTTGAGGGACTACTCGTGGTACCTCTTCGCTCCTTGACCCGTTGCTCACTTTCCACTGCTTAGGACCAAAGACCCTAACATCATCCTATTACCATAGCTACTAGCATCTGGTGATTGTTCCTCTTCCTTTGGAGATTCATATTTCTCCCCTTTGTTTGACTTAGCTTATTAGATCATCCACTTGTTTCCTAGTAGTAAAATCATCGTACTACTCTCTCAACTCCTTCAAAATCCTTGAGGTATTCCCTTTCAGTTGGCACCTTTTTGCTGGTGTTTGGAGTTCAAGTCCTCGCATATTTGATTTTACCTTCACAGACCTTTGCAACGTTCCTCCTTCCTTCTCTAGGTTGAAGATGACGATCTGCTTGCTAACGTCCGAGTAGTTGGTTAACTAATTGAAAAACTACTATCCATCATGTCGGGGAAATACTTGGTCTTGAGAGCCTTTGAGATTCTACTTGGGCTGGTCACGTTTCTTTCATCCTTTCTTTCTTACTAGCGATCACCAAATGCCTAAATCTCTCATTTGACAAACAACAACATGTTAACTAAATCGCGTCCTAGCCTATTCTTAAACAATCGCACCCAGGCTACCATCCCTTCGTTTCGTGCTGTCATAGTTATTCACCTTAATATGATTAGTTGTCGCTTAATCCTTTACTGAGTCCAGGTGAGTGAGATGGGGTCAGTCTACGCCCTTACGTTTTTAATAATTCTAATACTTGAGTACTTTACCTAAACACTTAACTTTGACTAGTGGAAGTTGTTTGTACTTCCAATCTTAAAATCTTAACTCTTAAACTTTGAGGGAGTTGAAGTTACTCTCCTCTCTTAAAGCTCAAATCTTGACTTAAATACTTGACTGGCATGGGGATCCCTCACTAGCTAGTCCGGTTGCCAACTTATATGTATGAGAAGCCATCTAGGCTTTCCTTAAACTTAAACTTAGTTAGGGAAGTCGTAACGATTCATCCCCCTAACATCTTAAACTTATCGCGGTGGCTCTTCAACACGATTCTCAAGGGCATAACTGCTGCCCATCTTAAAAGTCTCAAGAGCATAACTGCTGCTCTATCTCAAAGATCTCAAGAGCATAACTACTGGTCTATCTGAAAATCTCAAATGGCAACGGGCTGACGCTAGTGACTAAAAATACTTAAAACGACTTCACCTTCTTGAAGGTGAGTTACTTCTTTAAAAAGAACATGTTTCTTAAACTTTAACAATAACTTATATTCGGGACAATTTCAAGGTAAATAACAACCATTCACTTCAAGTCATAATTCAACCAAAGCACATACCATCAAACATAATCATGCAATCTCAAATACGAATCAATCACTGCACATACATCACGTAAATCGATACTTACAAATATTCAAGGTAAATACTTGAAAAATCGTAAGGCGTAGAATTTACCCCCTTTACACTCACCTTATACTCAAGTCGACTAACTTGAATCACCCTACCGTTGGTCGGACTCCTTGGTCGTGGTGTACCCTCCGCTTGGCCTCGTCTTTGGATTACATCAACTACGTTAAGCTGCGTTGGTTGATTATAGACTCTTAGTAAGACTTCCATGACTAGTAATTGCTGCCAATTGGTTTACTAACTCTATACCCACAGTCCCTTATTTCATACTCCTCTCACGTTACCCTAAACCACTAGCTACCCCGCGTCTTGTACCTCCTCATTGATACTTCCTAATAATCCACTTCTTCTCAATTGTTCCAAGACCATTAGAGAGCATATAATAATGATATGGAAGGCACGAGTCACCCAGCTGACTTGATAGAAATAATGAGCTCCATAACTCATCATTGGCTCACCCCAAACAGCTCTCGGCTCCCTCATTTAAATTCAAGCTGAACGCAGCATTCAGATCAAGCTCCTGTTTAACATCAGAGCTCGCATGCAACCTCCCATTTTCACACCCCCCAATGTTCCGGGAATTCCCCTCATCATCACACTCCTTCCCTAGGTTTTCATTCAAGTCAACTTCAACTCTACCCAAATTACCATTTCCCAGCCCAATCCCTCCTAGAACTGCACCATTCACATCATCCCGCAAGTCAACATTGCAATTCATATCTAATAAATTACTGTTACCTCCAATAGAGACCAAGGTTCCGCCGGCGCTCTCCCCGCCATTAGAGACGGAACCGTCTCCCGGTTCTCGATCAACAACTCGGCGGCGCTTCATCGGCTTGTGCCCAACACGAGACCGTTGGTCAACCACCAGCTGACCAGGCCCCACCAACGCCACCACCTCCGGAAAATCGAGCTCCTCGGAATTGTGAAGGAAAGGAAGCGAGAGGGAACTATAGACGTGTGGACTGGCCATTATTTTGATTGGCAGATCGAAAGTTCCTAACCCTAAAAGGTCAAAGTTTCCTTTTCAACATAAGGAAGGCAGTAGTAGGTGATTTAGTTGAAATTGGAGGGGTATTCTGAGCATTACATAATTTACGGGTGAGTTTAATCTTAAACTCAACTAGCGTACGTAACTTACTCGATTTATGTCGAAACTCGACACCATTTGAACCGTGAGTTCGCATTTTTAGTACTCATGGATATTACGATGGAATTTGACAAATTTTCCCAAGGGTATAATAGTCATTTTGACTTTTGGGAAGAGCGGGGTGTAACATCCGGGGTTGGTTTCACCTGTTAGAATCTGAAACACACTGAAACACAAGAAACCTAGCATAAAACCACCCCCTTTTGGAGCTCAATTTCAACCAACGTCAAAGAGAAAAGGGGATAAAAAGTGTACAATTAGGCCCGAATCACTCCCCCACATTTAGTCGTTTGCTTGTCCACAAGCAAACCATTTCACACAAAGTAATATCTCAACCTAAAAAATGCTTTGGGGACAAATCAAAGGGCACAAAGTGGCGAATCTCAATGGCTATTGGCAATTAACACATGGACCGTTACAAGTAATATCAATATCCACTACAAACGACATTCGGGGTCACCAAAAATGGGCAAACAAAGGTCCTCACTAGGGGTATGATATGACATGCAAAGCAAGAATGAATCACTCACTCTCTTCGCCAGTGGGGTCGGGACTTTTTGGTGCAAAGAATGTGTACAATCATCAAGACTTGTCCCTATCATCTCTTCACCACGACGGCAACCTCTAAATGTTAGAGTTCACGGGACGGTTGTCATCACAAGCTTGTCCGGAGGTCTTAGACAGGGGTTCAATTGACTGGCAATTTTCTTGGACATGGGAAAAAGGCTTTTTTGGGTGGTGGAAATCACAACATGAGGTCCTACATCTTCACCATAAACCCGAAGGTTCTATGGTTTTGACTAAGAACCTTCCCTACAAACAATGGCCCCTATCATCGACCAAAAACCTTGCTTCTCGATTTACTCTTGCTATCACATTTCGACTTAGTAGTGAAGGAGTTCTAAAAAATTAAGGGGTTTCAATGTATTGAGTGCCAAAAAAACCCCTCTTAGAACATACTCTTTGATTCTTTTGTGTCACTCTCTACTTTATTTACCCCATTTTATTACCTCTTTTTCGATTCTTTTTCTTTCTACTTTCCATTCTTTCTTTTTCTCTTTTCTTTTCTTTTCTTTTTGAGAGGGATACTAGAGAGTTAAACACTTATCACATTACCATTAACAACCAATGCTCTCTTTTAAGAACTCACTCCAGCACTACTCTTTTCTCTTTCATTAATAGCAAAGACCGCACACAATCCTCCTATGTAGAACCTCAATGGAACTCAAAAGCGAGAGCTCCAGGACACAAGGACTACTCACGTATATACACAAAGAAAGGATGGAGGATCGTTCTATCAAATACCATTAAGCTCACAAGTCACAAGCAACAATCTCCTAACATGAGAACGACCCCCAAAGTCACAAGGCTCAAAGGGGTTGGGACAATCAACATTTGGGCGTGGACTAATCCTATGCCTCCATCATAATCACTAGTGACAACTGTGATGTTACTCGCCATGGTAAGAGGGATCTAAGCACACAAGAAGAAAATGATCGGCTCAAAACTCACATGGCTACCTAGTCACCCAATCATCCATTCCAATTGACACGTCCCGATCCTTTTTGAAAACCAAACCATAACTCAAACCAAAAACCGGTTACTACGGAGCAACCCAAAACGGTTTACAAGTCAAAACCAAAAACTACAATGCTTAAGATTTTCAATTGAAATGCCCTAGACACTTGGGCGACCTCAATCCCAAGCAACAAAACATAAAACACAATCCTTGAGTTTCCCAGTATACTCATTAAGACATGAACTAAAGACAACTAAAATGGGAGGTCCCATCTCGTTACCCAGATCCAGTTGACAACTTCAGGTTAGCCGCGGCTGCTCTCCTCGGGTAATCTCCACTTGATGGATGCGTCCTCTTCCCCTCTATGCACCTGGTGAGTGAGAAGGGGTCAGTCTTGCCGTTACTCCCTAAGGTCTTTGCCCTAGGCAAACTCCTTACTAAACACATTATTAGGGGAATGCCTTCCTAGCATGAAAGCCGTTCTTGCTTTCTGCTCTTAAATAATCATCCTTACCAACTCAATTCAACATTAACTCCTAAGAGTGCTCGCCTTCTATCCTTAACTCAAACACAAAACACTAGGACCACCGCGTTACGTCTCGCCGTCCGGTGTCCCTACCCTCGTATGCCAACCGCGTTACGTCTCGCCGTCCGGTTGCATACCCAAACTCGGCAATGGCACTGCATTACGTCTCGCCGTCCAGTCCATGGCCGTCAACTACTGCGTTACGTCTCACCGTCCAGTAGTGACCCAACATACTCGATCAACTGCTGCGTTACGTTTCGCCGTCCAGCAGTGACCCGACCATCTACCGCGTCCACTAGTGGCCCAACCGCCCAGGGGTTCCTCTTAACATCAATAAACTATTACAATCAAACAACCATACATTCATACATAGCAAAACGCGTGCCTCCACCCTTACAGGTGGTGGGATGCCTCACACACATATCGCGCTTTACTCAACAGTGAACTAAATAATAACTTGAATGAAAAGCATAAACTAAAAGACCTACGACAGAGATTTTACCCCCTTTACACTCACCTCAAAAAGATGACTCATCAATTCCTTCCTCGAAGAAACCCTCCTTAGCCGGATTATCTTGGGGAAACCTATTAATAAGAATCCATTTCTTAGACGACCTTTCTTGATCTAAAACCCCTTTTGAAACACTAGAACATCCTCTCCTCAAACTCCAGTCCTTGAACCTCATTCCAAGGGTCCTTAACCCCCACTAAAATTTTCTAAAATTAATCCCTCAAAAAACGACCATTTTTCTTAATTATTTTAGTCTTGGACGAATTTTCGACCTAACTAGAATCTTCTTAAAAATTTGGATAATAATTTTTCCATGTCCATCATGAGCACCTATACCCTGGAAAATTATCAAACCCTTAAAATCCCCTGGGAAGGAATTTTATTTAATTAAAACGAATATTAGAATAATTTCTAAAAATAGAAATACATCTCCAAAAATAACTAAATTAAATTACAATCATCTCCTAGACGTCATTCAATTTATCAAATTTCTAAATTCAGAAAAAAACCTTTAGAGAGGCTCGAAATAATTTAAAACATCTAAAAATACGTTTCTGGAAATTCCCAGTAGCTTTAGTGACTAATCAAAATCTGTCACTAAAAGCCTGTAATGGTTGTTGCTAAAAACCCAGAATTGCATCCTCATGAAAAATCACCAACTCGATCGATCTAACTCAAAGGAATCGAGTTCCTTTACCTCTAGGACGTGCCTAGGCCTAGGTTGGATGACCCGGGACGTTGATCCCCTTGTTGATCGAACCCCCAACGTCACCGCTAATAAAATACGAGCTTCGGGTTAGACTATCGATAAATCTAGTTTATAAATCGCGAAGGGGTTCGTGATCCTTACCTAAAACGAAAGGGATGGGGTCAGGGTCGAGATCTGGGTTGATATCAAGAAGGCGGCGGTGGGATGCGCTGGGGAAGGGATGGGATTAGGTGCTAACCCTTATAGGGGTTAGCACCGTGATAACTAGCAAAAAACGCTACTAAAAAATAACGAAATCACTACGGATTATTATAAAATCAATACAACATCTAAGCTAAATCACTATTAATTCAAACTAGTAGTAGTTTTCCCCTTGGTTAGGACGGTGCTAACTATTGTACAATTAGCACCGTTGCCGTTCCCGCTGGGGAACAAGTAAATTGCAGGGGGGTTCTTTCTTTGTGGCGTGGGGAAATAAAGGGGTGGGAAGGGTTTTTGGGTGCCGCTCGGCCCCGAGGCTAAAATGTTGTTTTTTAAGTAATGTTATAATAATTGTAATATTATAATAATAATATTATAATATTATTATTTTTAATCCGCGATTGTAACTCCTAGTACGTAATCGTTAACCTAACCGCTCATAAAATAAGGTCGAACCCAAATCTAAAATACCGGGGTGTAACACCAATTTCACAAAACACAATGCATGGCAATTGTAATCACCAAGTAATCGAGTCGAGACATCCATTCATTTTTGCACACAAGAGAACTAAACTTTTGCACTACCCTAATGCACCTCTCAGTCATCATCTGACACACTCGATCACCAATTCAAGGTCAATGACAATAAACACGAGATTATCCTACAAATCGACCACTTCGATCATGCAAACATTTCTTGGAGCCCTCAAAAATTTCAAATTTGGGCATACATCAGGGTTCTAAGCATAAATCACACTCACAAAAGAATATTAATAGACTAGCCCAACCCCCCCCCCCCCTCCCACACACACACACACTTAAGTTCGACATTGCCCTCAATGGTGTAAGATAGGGGTAGAACGATGTTACCGCTTTGCTCGGTGAGTGAAAGTTGGAATTTTTCCGAGGTAGGTGATTTGAGCTTCAAAGAGAAGACAAAAACATACACACAAACACAACACATACTCGCTCGATGCGAGGTTATTACACAAAACAATACGATAGTAGCAGTTGTTCACACATACTAGATAAAAGAAAGAAAAATAAAACAACAGAGTTTAGAGTTCCACGTGGAGAAGTGGGGCGAAAGGAATCGGCTCTGCCACATGTCTCACTCGTCGGCTACCTCTCACTGAGTCGAAGGCCCCAACTCATCATCTGGAAGGAGGCCCTGGCGATGAGCAATCCGCTCGAGCAGGCTGGGCTACCTGTCAAGCCGAGAAGTGACTCCCATGACGTGGGTCTGAAGAGGGTCCATCCTCTCCACGAGGGGGCACCCCGGAGGTGGAAGGACCGGCACCTGATGGTGCTGGTGGTGGTTGTGGTGCAGGATGCCAGCGGCGGCCGGGAGCTCGAGCAGGTGGCTACTT